CAGGGAGGGACGCACACGGGAAGGCTGGGAGGAGGGCTGCCGGGGAAGGAGTCACCTGGTGGTGCTGCAGCTGCCCTGTGCTCGCTCTCACGCCTTACAGCTAAGTTCCCTCAACCCCTTGCCTGCCTCGCCATGTCTTGTGTACTTTGCTGCCGCCTCGTTTTTGCACGTGCTTTCGCACCATTCCTACTAAAACAGTGCCACTGGTTGGGACCGGCTCACATGCTGCAGACCCCCTTACTTCAGGTAACCCTCTCAGGTGCAGGTACCCCTCAGGTGCAGGTGTGCAGGTACCCCCTCAGGTGCAGGTGTGCAGGTACCCCCTCAGGTGCAGCCCTTGGGTCTGCAGTTTGTGACTTGGCCTCCACCAGTGGCCCCTCCCCTCTCCCGCCTTGCAACTGCCGTTCCCTCTCTTGCACTTTCACCATTCATCCCCTCGCTGCCCACTGACCAGCTCTGCGTGTGTGCCTTGCAGGTGGAGGGGAGGGGCGGGGGTCAACACCGACGCTTCCCCACGCCCCTCCCCTGTGGCCGTGCAGGTACCCGTGGGGATGGGAGGGAGGCAGCACTGCCAATCGCTGCCACAAGGGAGAGTATCGGGGTGGGCTTGGCCTCTCAAGGTACGTCAGCCTCTCTCTTGCCCTCATCCCTCTCCCATTCTGCTCTTTGATTCCGCCTTCTCGTTTTCCTCAGCTTCAGTTTGTTTTCTTGCTAGTCATGCCAACTCACTTGCTCTTACTTCCTCCCTTTCTTCCCCCCTTATCAGGTCACTTGGCATCGAGTGAAGACTGCAGTGGTGCTTCAGCTGCCCTCTGCGTGCTCTCACACAATCAGCTAAGTGTCCCTTCCTCCATGCCCTCGCCCTTGCTCCTGCCATTTCGTTTTTTCGCATCTGCTTTCGCACCCTTCCTCTCGAAACGGTGCCACTGGTTAGGTCCGCCTCACATGCCACAGACCCCCCAACTCCAGGTAACCCCTCAGGTGTAGATCAGGTGCAGGTAACCCCTTAACGTGCAGGTAACCCCTTGAGGTGCAGGTACCCTCTCAGGTTCACCCCTTGAGGTCTGTGCTTTGTGGCTTGGCCTCCACCAGTGGACCCTCCCTGCTCTCGCCTTGCAAACTCTCTTCTCGCTCTTGCACTCTCACCCTTCCTCCCCTCGCTGCCCACTGACCAGCTCTGCGTGTGTGCCTTGCAGGTGGAGGGGAGGGGCGGGGGTCAACACCGACGCTCCCTCACGCCCCTCCCCTGTGGCCGTGCAGGTACCCGTGGGGATGGGAGGGAGGCAGCACTGCCAGTCGCTGCCACAAGGGAGAGTATCGGGGTGGGCTTGGCCTCTCAAGGTACGTCACCTGCCCTCTTGCCCTCATCTCTCTCTCTTTCTGTTCTTCAGTTTTGCCTTCTCGATTTCATCAACTTCAATTCTATTTTTTCTTCTCTGGTCCAGCCAACTCACTTGCTTCTACTTCCCCCCTTTCGTCTGCCTCCACCCCCCTCCCCGGTGGCCGTGCAGGTGCCTGTCTGTGGGGATGGGAGGAGGCCAGCTCTGCCAGTCGCTGCCACAAGGGAGAGTATCGGGGTGGGCTTGGCCTCTCAAGGTACGCCGCCTCCCCTTTTGCCCTCAACCCTCTCTATTTCTGCTCTGTAGTTGCCTTCTCTTTCTCGTCAACTTCAGTTCATTGGTTTCTCTAGTCCAGCCTATTCACTTTCTTTTACTTTCCCCCTATTCTTCTGCCCCCACCCCTGCAGGCCACTGGGCATCGAGGGAAGACTGTAGCAGAGAAGCTGAGTAGCAGACCGGCAGCAGCAGTAGCAGCAGAAGCGACAGCAGCAGCTGCAGCAGCAGCAGTGGGGGGTGGCGGGTTAGAGGCGGGCTAGGTTAGGTCGAGTCGTGAGCGAGGTGTGGTATGGTATCAGGTAAGGTATGGTAACAGGTTTGGTATGGAGATCTGATCCCCTCCTCTCTTTCTTCCTCCCCACCCCTCTTTGCAGCCTGAGTATGGAGGGAGCACTGGAGCAAGGGCGGGACAGAGGCATCTCTCTCTTCATCCTCACCTACCCCTCCCCTTCTCCCTCCCGCTGCCCCCCTCCCCACTTTCCAGCACGGTCGATGCAGCCTGAGGGAGAGAGGGAGCAAGGGCGGGACAGAGCCATCGCACTAACCCATCCACCCCCCCCTCCCCCCCCCTCCTCCTCCCTCCCCACTTCCCAACACCCTGAGGCATTATGGCGCTCTGCATGGCTGTGGTAGGTAGAGGTAAGAGGCATGGGGTGAAGGGGAGAGTGGGGAGGCGGTGGGAAGCATGGGAGCAAGTGGGCAGGTCACTCTCTCAGGGGCAGCATCCTCTAGGGATGTGCCTTGCGGGTCGGGGTGTGGTGGGTGGAATCTGCGCGGCACGGCACTCGGTGCTCAAGTAACTAACCTGACGTTAAGGCTTAATGGGCACCGTCAGAGTCGACCGGCCGGCGACTCTGGTTCGCGTCAGCTCTAGCTACGTCAGGGGTGGGATTTGAGTCTTGGGCTGGAAGCAATTTTCCACTACCACACCTTGCCCTTCAAGGCACTTCCCCTGGGGTGCTGTTTCCGAAGGGGAGTGGGCTGTCTGCTGCTCCTACTGCTGGCAGGTAAGGTGGGGAGGGGATGGGTGGGCTGGGTGGTGATGGTGGTGATGGGGTGATGGTGGTGAGAGGCAGTGGGGTTGGCGGTGGCATATGATGAGCCATATGGCACTGATGCCACCCTTAAGCATGGAAGCATGATGCTCATGCTTGGCTGGTTGGGGGCACATGATGAGTTGCACTGATGCCACCCTTAAGCATGGAAGCATGATGCTCATGCTTGGCTGGTTGGGGGCACATGATGAGTTGCACTGATGCCACCCTTAAGCATGGAAGCATGATGCTCATGCTTGGCTGGTTGGGGGCACATGATGAGTTGCACTGATGCCACCCTTAAGCATGGAACTGTGATGCTCATGCTTGGCTGGTTGGGGGCACATGATGAGTTGCACTGATGCCACCCTTAAGCATGGAAGCATGATGCTCATGCTTGGCTGGTTGGGGGCACATGATGAGTTGCACTGATGCCACCCTTAAGCATGGAAGCATGATGCTCACGAGTGGGTGAAAGGGGCTGAGTCCCCTTGAGTGGGTGAGAGCAAGTGAAAGGGGCTGAGTCCCCTTGGGTGGGTGAGAGCAAGTGAAAGGGGCTGAGTCCCCTTGGTTGGGTGCGAGCATGTGATAGGGGCTGAGTCCCCTTGGGTGGCACATAATGGGCCGTATGGCACTGATGCCACCTGTTGCATGAGAGCATGATGCTCGTACTTGGTAGGTGGCATATGATGAGCCGTATGGCACTGATGCCACCTGTTGCAATGATGCTCATGCTTGAATTTAGTCTGAGTGGTGAGAGTTAGAGGTGACAGCGGTGAGAGTGAGTGGGTGGTGGGGAATATTTGTGAGAATGGGAGGTGAGAGTGAGATCAGAGAGGGTGGTGAGGGTGAGTGGTTTGAGTGGTGAGGTTGGAGTGGTGAGAGTGTGGTGAGATTTGAGTGGTCGGAATGGTAAGTGAGTGGTGATACTGAGTGGTGAAAGTAAGTGGTTACAGTGAGTGGTGAGAGTTCATTGAGGGTGGTTGGTGAGAGAGGTGATTATCAGTGAGTGGTGGGATTGCAGCAATAGTGGGTGGTTGCAGTGGCAAGTGGTGCGACAGTGTGCAGTATACTGAGAGGTCATAATGGCAGCTGTGTGCATACATGATGTGTCCAAGCATGCATCTTTGCACTTGTGCATACATATGTGTATGCGTGCAGTGTGCATGGATTTGCACGACTGTTAGAGAAGGGGTTGGAACCCCTCGGATGAATGAGTGAGAGAGAAGAGGCTGAAACCCCTTGGGTGGGTGAGTTAGAGGGGGGGTGAGTGGAGTGGGAGGGGGAGGATAAATGGTGCTGAGATGAGTGAGAACCCTAGTGTTAGGACGAGAAAGGGGCATAGGTATCCTCCTCGTCTGCCGTCGTGCGCGTATATTTTGTGTGACATCATTATGTGCGGTATGATAGAGTGTGGTAATACACTGTATTGTTTGATACATTGTGCTGTAAATTTGTGTGGTGTGGTGGAGGTGTTATTTTATAGTTTGGTATGGTAGGGTGTGGTATGGTATGTTACAGGTATGATACGGTGTGGTGTAACATAGTGTGTGTGGTAAGAGTGTAGTGTGATGTGGTGCGGTGTGGTATGACACCGTGTGATGTGTGTAGTACGGCATGGTGTGGCATGGCATGGTGTGGCATGGCATGGTGTTGCATGGTATGGTGTGGCATGGCATGGTGTTGTACGACATCATGCTATGTGCTGGCGGGCAGCAGATGGAGGGAAGAGGAGCACGATGGAAGGCAAGGAGGGCAGTGAGGGAGGGAAGAGGAGTGAAGGGGTTGAGTGGTGGTGTGTGGCATGTGGCGTGCATGGCTGCCTCAGCTGCCATGCCGTTCCACTGCACTGCATGTGATAATATTTTGTAGTCTGATCTGAGAATAGAAGCTCTAGTGTTCCCTTGCATAATGCAGCAATAGTATGTTTCTTCAGTTTGTGGCATATGCAGTGCTGAAGTATGTGTGATGCAAATTCAAATCAAGCTAGCAGTTGTAAGCTGACATATGTAGGTCAGACTTGTTAATTTCAAATATCTATAAGCTGCATGAGTAACGAGGGCATGGTTGACCTGGAGAGTGACGAGGGAAGCTGCGTAAATGGTTGTAAGCTGGTAGTAGTAGCTGATAGCAAACACTGATGTTGTAAACACCACAAAAATACATTGCTATGCTCTGATTGTATGTACATAGGTACTACCTAATGTGGAACAGCTCGTGACATGTACGAGGTGCAGTGCCAAACTAGGAACAAGAGACAAACTCAATGACAACTAGATGCTAGACAGGCACAATAAGCGATGGAACACTTGGGGTTGGGCGTGGGTGGTGGGGGTTGGAGGAGATAGAGTCAGTCATCCAATATCTCAACAGGTAGCCGTGGACACCCTGCCATGTTTAAGCGTCTGCCATACACACACAGCTTCCGCAGTCGAGGCAAGGAGCTGATGGTCACAGGCACAGAGCTTATATCGGCGCCATCAGCAGATATCTCCAAGGATGTGAGGCTCCGCAACTCACTCATGCTTGCTAGCATTGTGTCCAGCGACTCAGTCCACTCCACATTCAGCTTCCGTAGCTGCGGTAACGTTGTTGCAATGTCTTCTGGCAGCTTCTCAAATCCAGCTGCACAGATTGTGAGCGAGCGGAGCTGTGGGAATGTGAGCGGTAAGGGAAGCTCCGTATCCGTGTCTGGCAAACGCAGGGTCAAGTGCCGCAGCTGAGTCAAACCCCTGCTCATTTCCACTCCATGCTCCAAGTCAGGCAAGTCCAACGTCAGATCCGTCAGATTTGGCAGCTGCGACAAGTCAGTAAGGTAAGTCGTGTCGAGATCATTCTCCACTTGCAGGACCTCAAGCGAACGTGGCAGAGAAAATGGGATGTCCCTGAAAGTGTCACATCGAGTCAGCTCCAGCTCCTTCAGCCTTCCTAAGCTCTCCAATCCCCCTGATTCAGAGCAAAGGAAAATAGTCGGTTTATAGTCGTGGATAAACACAGATTGTAATTCGGGAATGGATTTAAAAAGGAGGAATTAAAGACAGAGTCAGACTTGCCAATACTTCGGAAGAGTCTTAATAGTGTCGCAATCACACAACCACATATTTTTCAAGTTCTGCAGCCTTTGCATACCTTGGAGTTCGGAGATATCACACTTAATGAGATGAAGCTCTGTCAAGGAAGATAATTGTGTAAACGAGGGCGGGAAATCGTAGCTGCCCTCCAAATAGAGCAGCTGGAGGCTAGCAAGCTCTCCAAATCTTCGTGGCAGTTGGAAACTATCGTGGTCCAAGAAGAGGGCCTGCAGCGAGGTGAGATCATATACTGAATCGGGGAGGGTTAAGATGTCCAACCCCACTAATGACAACATTTTAAGGGCCGGCAATTTGCCAAAGTTTCTGGGCAGGCTCCTAATTGCGTGACAATCATAAAGGACGAAGATCTCCAAGCGGGTGAGAGAGGTGAAGTTATCAGGCAGCTCCATCAAGCTGCAGAATTTCATGACGAGCCTGCGCAGGCACGGCAGCAGCTCTCCCAGGTGGTCTGGCAGGCGATGGAGCAAATAATCTGAAATCAACAAATCTCTTAAGCGGGTGCATGGCGATGTCGGTGAGATGATAGAGTCAAACTGAGGACAGGATTCAAAAAATGTCAGTGACTGAAGGGAAGTCACTATGCTTGAAAGAGGTGAGTCTTGGCTGACTTGGCATGAAGAAAGGAAGGAAAGATGGGAAATGTATGGGAGGTGAGCGAGGGTAGTAAGGTGACGCTGATGAAACGGGAAGCTTATGTAGAGGGTCGTGAGAGAGGAGAAGTTTCTGAAACTCGGATTCTCCAAAGCTGCAGCGTCGGAGAGAAGAAGCGTGCGCAGATGCCTCAGCTGGAAGAACGAAGCGGGTAGATCTCCATCCTGGAGAGAAAGGAAGATAGACAGCTGCTGCAGCCCCGTGCACTTCTGAAACAGTATATCCAGCCCCTCTGGCGTTATTCGGTGCTCAAACTTTGTGCGATCGTGCGATCTTAGGATTCCCCATCCTACGTGGAGAGTGGTCAGTTTAGGGCACGATGAGGCTAGGTGAGAAAGAAAATCGTCATCCAGTCTATCCACGCTGCCATCGCACAAGTGCAGATGCGTCAGGTTCGGAAAACGAGAGACGGCGACAGCAACGTCTTCCTTGGAAACCGTGCAGCTCTCCCTAAATACAAGCGTTGAGACGTGTGCTTTTGCAAGGTCACGCCAGCGACGGCAGATAGACGCATTAAAGAGGCTTAAAGCAACGTCCGCTGAGCGACCCGGGGTGGGAATGGGTGTCTCGTGCTTTTCAGTTTCTAATTCATAAGCACCCGGTGGTCGGATACACTTGAGACCGGGGGCTATCGAGCTCCACAATTTGTCCAGGGATTTTCCGGGAGCAGGTTGAGAACGCCAGAGGATCCTAATGAGAAGGTCATCAGAAAGGCTGTCGATAGTAGTGGCTGATTCCATCTCGGAAGGATTATAAAGACGGTGGTTCTAACTGGCAGGTATTGAAAGAAGTTCGCTCAAAATGGATTCAACGAGATAAGAGACAGGAAACTTGAGTTGAACCCGCAGTGGTGGGGAGGAGCTTACAAGCAGTTCAGTGAGACCTAACGTACTTGCATGATCACGAGACTTGCGCCTCAGCAGCGGAAGCTCTGAAATGGAATCCCAAAGCGCTATGCATCATTGAGAATCATATGCAACAGCGGCTGAGCTGTCTGATGTTTCTGGGCTGGGGACGAGGCCACGTAAGCTGCGGTAGAGGTGAGAAGCGGGGATCGATGTTCGCGAGCAACGTACAAGCAATGTTGGTTTAAAATGTAGATGAAAGAAAAGTGATTTAATCAGGAATGTAGAGAAAACAAGAGGCGACTAAATCGTCTTAGGGTTGCGAAGCGTTTTGCGTAAAATACATATTTACTGTACCAATAATATTTGTTAACACTATAGGTTCATCATACTATTTGGTAAGAGGTTCATCATACTAAGTAAATTTCTGGGAAAACGGCACTCACGGGATTCGAACCTAATACCTTTCGTTCCCCGACTGACTTTCTCACCATTACGAAACCCCCATGTATATTTCATGCGGTATTTATTACTCAAAATTATAATTTTGGCAAATTGTCCACACCCTAGGGTTTTTCCATCTCCTTTTTCTCGCTCCTTAGTTTGGTTCTCTGTCCTTTCTCCAGTCAAGCACCACGTATCAGGTCAAGGTGAGAAGTTCCTAACCTATCAAGTAGATCTTGCTTGATTATGAGCTAGACTAACATCCCTTCGAAACGACTAACATTCCTTAGTAGATTAACATTGTCAAGAAGCTAGGCTAGGTTAGGAACCTAGGAGAGTGGCGAGAGAGTGGAATGTCGAGAAAGGAGAGGGTTCACTATAGGCTCGAGGGTACAAATAGGAGACAAAGGAGGTGCACCACCAATACAAAGAGTTTATAACTACACTAAAGCTACAGCTACAGGCAGGTACATAAATATATATAAATTATATATTCTAACACTCCCCCATAACTGCCTGCAGCAGGAGCTTGTGCAGCAACAACTCCTGGATGGGTACACCACGAACAGAGAAAGCAGCAACAGGAGGCAAGTGCAATGACAACCAGTGCAGTGGTGGCAGAGACAGCTGCAGCAAGCCCTGAGGCAAGAAAGAGAGAACGAAGACGATGTGCTGTGGCGCGCTTAGTTTGCAGCTCAACAGCAAAGAAGACGAACGAAGACGATGTGCTGTGGCGCGCTTAGTTTGCAGCTCAACAGCAAAGAAGACGAACGAAGAGAGAGAAGCGTCAGGGGCTGCAGAAGTAGGTGCCACATAGCAGTGGACGGCAGCTGCAGATGCGTGGCTACTGGTTCCACCACTCTCTCTTACCCTCCCTTAGCATCTCTCATCCCCCCCCCCTCTCCCCGACAGCAACAAGTGCTGCAGGGAGAGAGGAAGAGGGAAGGAGAGTGGGGGAGGGACGAGCTACTGGTGGTTCACACCCTCCGCCCCCAGAACTCCCGTCCCCCCCCCCCCGCGGCGGGAGCCGCGGAAGGGAAGGGCGGGGGGGGGGGGGGGGCATACGGAGCTGCCGGCGCCGGCGTCCCCTGCTGGCGCAAGCGCTGGCGTGCGCGGATGGCGCAGGCTCTGGCGCCTCGCGGCTGGCGCAGCACTGGTGCTTCGCGGCTTGCGCACGCGCTGGCGCTGCGTTCCGCACTGGCGCTGGCCGCGAAGTGCTGGCGCAGGTGCGGGCGTTGGCGCGGACGACGGGCAGGGCGACGCGGGCAGAGTAGGGCGCATCGGGGCGCGACGAACTGGAGGGCGCACGGGGCGCGACGAACAGGCAGAGCAGGGCGCAGCGGGGCGCGACGAACGGGAGGGCGCACGGGGCGCGACTCGGGTGACCCGCGGGGCGCCGAAACGTGGGGCCGCGGGCGACGGGAAGGAGGGCGCACGGGGCGCGACGAGTATGCCTTCGGAGCGCGAATCGAGTGGGGCCTGCAGAGAGCGAAACGCGGGACCCATGATCCTAAAAAAAAATAGGTCCTTAGGACCGATTATTGCTCTGTATGTCAAACATTATATGTTTGTATTGTTCTAGCCTGTAGTGGGTGATACCTTAGGGGGTACACCTAGTTAGGGTTTCACATTTGTACTCCTGTTTCTCTTAGTCACAGTCATTCCAGTCTCGTAATTTTGACATGGTTTCAGAGCAGGTCCTTCCCTAGGACCGTTCTTAAGGGCCCACCTACCTACCTACCTACATACCTATCAAGCGCCCCTAGTGCGCCTCCTATTGCGCCCCTAGTGCGCCTCCTATTGCGCCCCTAGTGCGCCTCCTATTGCGCCCCTAGTGCGCCATCTTTTTTTTTACCGCGCGCGATCTGCTAGCCGCCCGCGCGCGGCCTATTTCGTGCGCGCGACCAGCCAGCAGCCCGCGCGCGGCCATTTTTCGCGCGCGGTTAGCTAGCCGCCAGCGCGCGCGGTTCTTTTTCTTCGCGCGCGGCCCGTCGCGCTGCCCGCGCGCCTTGTGTGCTGCGCTCGACCCCCCGCGCCTTCGTCGCCGCGGTCGGGCCTGCAGCAACAGCCGCGGCAGAGACTGCAGTCGCGGCCGTCGCAACTGCTGCAGCAGCCGCCGCCGCCTCTCCTGCCGCGGCCGCCGCTGCATCTACAGCAGCTGCAGCCGCCGCATCTACTGCAGCAGCCGCCGCTGCAGCTACAGCAGCAGCAGCCGCCGCATCTTCTGCAGCAGCCGCCGCTGCATCTACAGCAGCAGCAGCTGCCGCATCATCTACAGCAGCGGCCGCCGCCGCATCTACGGCAGCAGCAGCCGCCGCAATCTACAGCAGCGGCCGCCGCAGCTACAGCAGCATCAGCCGCCGCTGCCTCTGCAGCAGCAGCCGCCGCCGACCCAGCAGCAGCAGCCGCCGCCGATCCTGCAGCAGCCGCAACCGCCGAGTCTACTCCATCGGCCGCCGCCGGCCCTGCAGTCCCTACTGTAGCCGAACCTGCAGCAACTGCCGCCGCTGTCGCGACTGCCCCGGCCCTGCCTTGCCCTGCTGCTACTGTCACTGCCACGTTTATTACTTACTTTTCCTCCTCCTGCTACCATGGCTACTGCTCCTGTTCTAGCCTTCGACGCTGAGGGCCGCCCAGTGAAATTTGACACCTGGCTCGATGATCTGCACCTTTTCCTACAGCTCACTGCCAAGGAAGACATTTCACTGTACGACCACGCCCTAGGCCATGCTACTGCCCCTGACTCCTCTGCTGCTAGCACACTGCGCTCCCAGTGGCAGACCCGCGACGCACACGCTCGCTTTGCTATCCGCAACTCCCTGCCGCTAGATGAGCGCGAGCACTTCGGCCAGTGCAAGACTGCTAAGGAACTGTACACAGCCGTAGTTGCTCGCTACTCCTCGCCTGCGTCTGCCACCCTAGGCCGCCTCTCCCTGCCCTACCTGTTCCCCGACCTGGCCTCCTTTCACACTGTCGCTGATCTCATCACCCACCTCAAGACTAGTGAGGCCCGTTTTCGCGCTGCTATGCCTGCCGAGTTCCTTGCTAGCAACCCCCCCCCGCTCTGGCTCACCCTCTACCACATTGTCACCCGCCTCCCTGACTCTCTGCGCACAGTCAGGGACTCCTTTCTAGCTCGCTCCCCTACTGAGCTCACCATTGCCCTCCTCGAGAAGGACCTACTTGCAGCTGAGGCGAGCATCGTCGCCGTAGGTGCCTCTCGTGGCGAGCCCCGCACCCCCTTCTTCGAGGGGTGTTCCCCTTCCCCCCTTCTCCCCTCTGTCGCCACTGCTGCTGCTGTCGACCTCCTTGGTGCTGAGAAGGTCGGGGCTGCGTCTGCTTCGAGCGGGCGCCGCAAGAGCAGGGGGGGCAAGGGTGGGGGTGGAGGCGGGGGAGGCGGGGGTGGAGACAGTGGAGGTGGCGGTGGGTCTGGAGAGGCTAGTGGCGGCAGTGGGGGTGGTGACAGCGGCGGCGGGGGTGGTGGCAGAGGCGGAGGTGGCAGCGGCGGCGGTGGCGGTCGTGGCCGTGGCAGGGGTGGAGGTGGCCGAGGCGGTGGCGGTGGCGGTGGTGGTGGTGGCCGTGGAGACGCTGGAGGTGGCCAGAGTCAGCAGCACGCCCCGACCCTCCAGGCCGCCCGTGAGTGGTACGCGCAGCGTGGGTACACTTGCACGTACGTCATCCGCACTGGTGACCGCACTGGCCAGCCATGTGGGAGGCCGCACCCCACGCAGCGCTGCTTCCAGCGCCTGACTGACGCGTGGCGCATCCAGTTTCCTGGGTCTACTGAGCTCGCCCACTGGCCTGAGCTGGAAAAGAAGGGTGTTGATATCTGGGCTTTAGACTTTGATGCTATTCTCACTGCTATGTATGCGATGTCTATTAGTGGAGAGGGTGCCCAGTACTTGCGTGTTCCGCCCGACCCGGGCATTCAGGCCAGCCCAGCTGCTGCTCTAGGTGCTAGTGCGTCTGTGCCCCCTGGTACTGAGTCGACTGCAGCACTGCACACCTTCACACTGGACTCAGGTGCTTCTCGCTCTTTCTTTCGTGACCGCACTGTCCTTGAGCCACTAGCTCGGCCGGTTGCTGTCTCTCTTGCTGACCCCTCTGGGGGTCCGGTCATTGCGACCTCCTCCACTACACTTCCGTGTCCAGCGGTTCCGTCCGGCACGCTCTCAGGTCTCTACCTCCCCTCGTTCTCTACGAACTTGGTGGCAGGTTGTGCGCTGCAGGACGGGGGTGTTCACCAGTTCACCCCTGCCTACGAGCGTGTGACACACTGCACGTGTGCTCGGACGGGCCGCCACCTGGCTACTTTCACTCGAGAGCCGGGGTCGGACCTGTACACACTGACCACTGAGTCCCCTCAGGTAGCTGCGTCTGCGTCTGCATCAGGTCAGCTGTCCGCCCCCTGCTCGTGTCGCTCTCTGGCGCATGAGACTGTCCTCTGGCACCACCGCCTTGGTCACCCGTCTGTGCAGCGCCTTCGGGCCATGCACAAACGGGACCTTGTTGCTGGTCTTCCCAGGGTGCTCCCTCCCCTTCCCGACTCCCCTGCTCCTGACTGCATTCCCTGTGTCGAGGGGCGGCAGCGCGCCGCTCCTCACTCCTCCTCCTTTCCCCCGACGACTGCTCCCTTGCAGACGCTCCACATGGACGTGTGGGGCCCAGCCCGCGTCCGTGGTCAGGGTCAGGAGAGGTACTTCCTGATAGTTGTTGACGACTACTCGCGCTACACCACGGTCTTCCCCTTGCGCGCCAAGGGTGACGTCCCTGGTGTTTTGATCCCCTGGATCAGCCGAGCCCGTCTCCAGCTAGGCAAGCGCTTTCACTCGGACTTTCCTGTCCTGCGCTTGCACTCTGACAGAGGTGGTGAGTTCGCCTCCGACCTCTTGGCAGCCTACTGTGCTGAGCACGGCATTGAGCAGTCGTTCACGCTTCCGGCCTCTCCGCAGCAGAATGGGGTCGCTGAGCGCCGCATTGGCCTAGTCATGGAGGTCGCTCGTACCTCCCTGACCCATGCGGCTGCTCCCCACTTTCTGTGGCCGTTTGCGGTCCGATACGCTGCGCATCAGCTCAACCTCTGGCCCCGTGTCTCCTTGCCGGAGACTTCCCCGACTCTGCGGTGGACGGGAGAGGTTGGCGATGCGTCGCGTTTCCGGGTCTGGGGATCTCGAGCTTTTGTCCGCGACACGTCCGCGGACAAGCTCTCGCGTCGCGCCGTTCCCTGTGTCTTTCTTGGCTTTGTGCCTGACGCGCCTGGATGGCAGTTTTACCACGTCACCTCGCGCCGGGTTCTGGCCTCTCAGGACGTCACTTTTGACGAGTCCGTCCCCTTCTACCGCCTCTTCCCCTACCGCACTGCCCCGCTCCCCCCCCCGCCTCTCTTCCTCGCTCCAGGTGCTGAGGTACCAGACCCCCTCCCCCCTCAGGGTGCCGCTCCCTCAGGTGTGTCCCAGGTAGACCCGGGTGAGCCTGTCGAGGTAGCTGTTGACTCGCGTCCTGCGTCTGGGGGTGCTGAGTCTGGGGGTGCTGAGTCTGGGGGTGCGGAGCCTGGGGGTGCTGAGCCTGGAGGTGCGGAGCCTGGGGGTGCTGAGCCTGGAGGTGCGGAGCCTGGAGGTGCGGAGCCTGGAGGTGCTGAGTCTGGGGGTGCTGAGTCTTCGGGTGCTGAGCCTGAGCGTACTACACCTGGAGGAGCCCTCTCCTCCCAGCAGCTGCAGGAGAGGTACCTCGAGTACTGCCGCCTCCGGAGAGGTGCTTCTGGAGCTCGTCCCAGTACTTCCCCTCCTACCCAGGAGCTCCCCCCCATTCAGGTGATCCGAGAGTGGTACACACGGCGCTGCAGTCTTCGGAGTGGTGCTCCTGGTGCTGCGGACCCGAGCGGTGGCGCTGTTGCTGGTGCTGAGGACCCGGACGCTGGAGCTGCTGCTGGTGCTGAGGACCCGGGCGTTGGAGCTGCTGCTGGTGCTGAGGACCCGACCGGCGGCGCTACTGCTGGTGCTGAGGACCCGACCGGTGGCGCTGCTGCTGGTGCTGAGGACCCGGGTGTTGGAGCTGCTGCTGGTGCTGAGGACTCGGGCGTTGGGGCTGCCGCTGGTGTCCCTGCTGGTTCTGGAGACGCTGCGCGGCCGCGACCGTACTTCGTACCGCTCCTTCAGCAGGTTCTTGGTCAGGCTCCTCCTCCTAGTCCTCCTCCCTCCGTCGAGTGTCCTCTGCCTGTCCAGCCGCAGTCACAGTTACCGCCTGCCTCGCCTCTCCCTGCTCCCTCTCCTTACGCTGGTCCCACAGGAGGTCTTACAGAGCGTCGTGAGCCTGAGTCTCGTCCTGCGTCGCCTGTTCGTACTACTCGCACTGGTCGTCGTGTCCCGCGTGAGCGTCCTCCTCCTGTCCCTGGCACTCACTACATGACTTTGCGTCCCTCCACTGCTCCGCAGCGTGTCCCGCTGCCGTCTCCTCCTGCGTCCTCTCTTCCTACTCTTCCTGACCCGGAGTCTGACTCCCGTCGTGCGGCCAGTCCCACTGTTACGCGTCTCCTCGCTACAGTTGTCACTGACCCGACCTTTGAGTCCTCTGCTGCGTCTGCTCTGGTCGCTGAGTTGGTTGACTTTGCTGCTCGCTGTCGCTTAGACTACGCTGCCAGCCTTGTCGCTGAGTCTGAGTCTGAGTCTGCCTGTCCTCCGTCCGTCGGGGGTGAGTGTGCTCTTGGCACGGACGTCCTTGAGGACAGACAGGAGGAGTTCCAGTGCTTTGCTGCTGCTTTGCCCCATCTCGTGTCCATGCTTGTTGCCCCTGAGGGAGACCCGGATGCACCAGACATCCCGACCCCGCGCTCTTACGCTGAGGCGATGGCGGGTCCCTGCTCCTCTCAGTGGCAGACAGCCATGGACGCAGAGATGGCTTCCTGGAAGTCCACAGGCACCTACGTCGACCAGGTTCCCCCTCCTGGGGCGAACATCGTCAGTGGCATGTGGATTTTCAGGGTGAAGCGGCCGCCGGGTTCTCCTCCTGTCTTCAAGGCACGCTACGTTGCTCGAGGCTTCAGTCAGCGAGAGGGAGTCGACTTCTTCCAGACCTTCTCCCCCACCCCGAAGATGACCACTCTTCGGGTGCTGCTGCACATAGCCGCTCACCGCGACTACGAGCTTCACTCACTTGACTTCAGCACTGCTTTCTTGCAGGGCAGCCTGCACGAGGAGATCTGGTTGCGCCGCCCTCCTGGCTTCACTGGGTCGGTTCCTCCTGGCACCCAGTGGAGGCTTCAGCGGCCGGTCTACGGTCTCCGCCAGGCGCCACGTGAGTGGCACGACACACTGAGGACGACGCTTGCGGCTCTTGGGTTCGCTCCCTCTACTGCTGACCCGTCGCTGTTTCTATGCACCGACACCTCGCTGCCGCCGTTCTACATCCTCGTGTACGTTGACGACTTGGTCTTTGCCACTGCTGACACAGCGGCACTCGCCCACGTGAAGTCGGAGCTGCAGAGGAGACACACGTGCACAGACCTGGGTGAGCTGACAAGCTATCTTGGCTTGCGGATCACCCGGGACAGAGCACGGCGCACCATCACCTTGACTCAGTCACACATGGTGCAGCAGGTTCTCCAGCGCTTCCGCTTCACGTACTCCTTGCCTCAGTCCACTCCTCTGCCTACCGGTCACTCGCTCTCAGCTCTGCCTTCGGATGAGTCCGTAGAGCCGAGTGGCCCGTATCCAGAGCTTGTGGGCTGCCTCATGTACCTGATGACCTGCACTCGACCTGACCTTGCATACCCCCTTAGCATCTTAGCACGCTATGTCGCTCCTGGCCGTCACAGGAAGGAGCACATGGATGCTGCTAAGAGGGTGTTGCGCTACTTGTGCAGTACGTCGGGCATGGGGCTTGTGCTTGGAGGGCGAGACCGGGTTGTTCTCACAGGGCACTCAGACGCTTCTTGGGCAGACGACCAGGCTACTCAGCGGTCGTCACAGGGTTACACCTTCAGCCTTGGCTCTGGTTCAGTTTCTTGGCGTTCTACTCGTTCGTCTTCTGTTCTCAGCTCCAGTTGTGAGGCTGAGATCTACGCCACAGCCATGGCTGCTCAGGAGCTGCGCTGGCTGACCTACCTGCTGACCGACCTCGGAGAGCGGCCTCGTTCTCCTCCAGTGCTGTACGTCGACAACAAGGCTGCCATTGCCTTGTGTGAGGAGCACAGACTCGAGCACAGAACGAAGCACATTGCCCTGCGGTACTTCCTTGCTCGAGAGCTGCAGCAGCGCGGTCAGCTTCGTCTGCGTTACGTGGCCACTGAGGCCAACACTGCTGATGTGTTCACCAAGGCACTCCAGCCTTGTGACCATCAGCGCTTCTGTACTCTGTTAGGCCTTGTGCCTACTGGGCCTCACTTGCTCACTTCTTGACTTTGCCTGTACTGTGATCACTATATATTTATATACCTGCATGTTTACTCTTGCTAGGTTGTGATCATTGTACGTCTTGCTCTATTATAAACCTGCATGTGAACTGGTCTTGTGACCGCTTGCTTGTGCTCGGAATTTGTGTGGAATCCTCGAGATCCACCCTGAGCTTGTTTGCCTTGCTTTGCCTTGACTGGTCTTGTGACCCCTAGGTCTCCCCCACTTTGCCTATTGGGGGTGTGTCAAACATTATATGTTTGTATTGTTCTAGCCTGTAGTGGGTGATACCTTAGGGGGTACACCTAGTTAGGGTTTCACATTTGTACTCCTGTTTCTCTTAGTCACAGTCATTCCAGTCTCGTAATTTTGACACTGTACCATGTCAAGAAGCTAGGCTAGGTTAGGAACCTAGGAGAGTGGCGAGAGAGTGGAATGTCGAGAAATGAGAGGGTTCACTATAGGCTCGAGGGTACAAATAGGAGACAAAGGAGGTGCACCACCAATACAAAGAGTTTATAACTACACTAAAGCTACAGCTACAGGCAGGTACATAAATATATATAAATTATATATTCTAACAAACATTTCGTAATTTCGCATCCTAGTTGTTTAATTTTGTGTTAGTCGTTTCTAAGGGATGCGAGTTGTTTAAGTTTATGTTTAAGACCCTTTGTAAAGTTTTCAGCTTTTCCTCGTGTTATCATTCATGGGGCATCCGTTTTTTCCGTTCTTCATCCGTATTTCATTTCCTTGGTTGAATCTTTACTTCCTCATTTTTGCTTAGTTCCTTTCATGTTTTTCTCATCCTCGGTTTAGAACTGTCCTATCTTCCTATATGTCGTGCTAGCGTCGCTTACGCCTATTATTTTCGCTTGGCCCCGTACATTATTTTGTATCGTTGTCATTGCTTGTCGTTCTTCTCGTGTATGTCCCCCTCTCGCACCTCCCTCCTCCCATTCCCTGAAACCTGTCCTCTGTTCAGCCCATTCACAAGCTAGTGTTGGAAATTCAAGTCATTTTTTCCTCCCTGTCTCTCGTCTCTCATTCTGTCGTTCTCTCTCTCTCTCTTCTCTCTCTCTCTCTCTCTCTCCGAGAGAGAGTTCTCTCTCTCTATCTCTCAGGTTCATAGAGAGAGCGTTTCTCTCGATATCGCTCTCTCCTCTCTCTCTAGCTATCTCTCTCGATCTCTAGCGATCTCGCTCGCCCCCTCCCCTCCCTCTCTCTCTTCTCTCTCTCTCTCTCTCTCTCTCTCTCTCTCTCCTCTCTCTCTCTCTCTCTCTCTCTCTCTCTCTCTCTCTCTTCTCTCTCTCTCTCTCTCTCTCTCTCTCTCTCTCTCTGTCAAACTCTTTCGCTCGTTTATGTATCTATCAAAACGCTACTATATACGAGCTCATTTATGTTTTCTTCTTTCCTTGCCCAGATTATTGCGTTTCCTCTATGCGGTTATTATCACATCTGGTATTTTTATTCGTTATTCTCCTTTGTACTTCTCTTCCCCACCTGCCTACGTTTCAAATCCTGTAATTCCGTCGTATCGTAGTTCTCTAATGTGTCTCTGCCTCCGTCCTTTTTTCTGCCCCTTCTGCCCCGTTCCTTTCCCTTCCCACTACGTTTCCCCCCGTTTCCCTCCCAGGGTCTTCGCTATAACATTCGGAGGCTAATGTGGAAATTAAAAGGATTTTGTTTGATTTTTGTTTGAAATGTTAATGATTGATGCTACTGCATTGTTATGTTAGATTTCTTTTAGGTTCATTTTCTGATTGTGACTCGTCTTTGTGTGTGCATATCGGTATGTGCGTGTGTGCGTATGTGTCTCTGTGTGCATATTCATACATATCCACCTGCCATTGCATTAACAATGCGTATCTGTGGATTTTAAAAAAATGGTCAAGCTATCATTTCCGAGAAGGTTCTTTGCCCACTCAGTGAGTGTGTTCACTTGAACTGGATTTGATGGATTTTGTCAGAATGAAGAATGGATGATGCATTGATGTTGGTTGGGGTACATATAGCTAACCCTAAGTTTTGTACCCCCTAAGACAAACCTCACTATAGGCTACAACATTTGACACACCCCCATAGCCTAAGTGAGGGGTGTCTAGCAGAACCAAACGAGTACGGTCACAAGACCAGTCCAAGAAACAAAGCTCAGGGTGGATCACAACGTCACCACACAGTCTGAGCACAAACAACAGTGGCCACAAGGCCAGTCCAAGAAGTAACAGAGATATATAGAAAGCAAAGTAAACAGTACACTCAAGTCTAAGCAACACGAGAACCAGTGTCAACAAGGCCTAACTGCACACAGCACCTCTGGTGGTCACAAGGCGGAAGCGCCTTGGTGAAGATGTCTGCAGTGTTGGCCTCTGACTCCACAAACTCAAAGCGAGCCTGTCCACGCCTCTGCAACTCTCGCAGAAGAAAGTACCTGACGTGAATGTGCTTCACTCTGCTCTCCAGTCGTGGCTCTCGACAAAGGAGAATAGACGCCTTGTTGTCAGTGAACAAGGTCGGTGCAGAGCTCGGCCGCTCACCAAGGTCGGTGAGCAAGAAGGTCAACCAACGCAGCTCCTGTGCCGCCATGGCACCAGCGTAGATCTCAGCCTCAGCTGTAGAGGTCGAGACCGAAGAGGAGCGCGTGGACCGCCAGGAAACAGCTCCAGAACCCAGGCTGAAACAGTACCCCTGAGTAGACCTGTGAGTCTCAGCGTCGTCAGCGTAAGAGGAGTCACAGTGACCAGTAAGTACGACAGACTGCTGCCCTCCAAGAACTAGCCCCACGCCTGATGTCGTCGCTAGGTACTTCGCCACCCTCACAGCTGCTGTCCAGTGAACAGGACGGTGTCTCCCTGGCGCAACAAAGCGCGCAAGAACGCTGAGAGGGAAGGCGAGGTCCGGGCGAGTACAAGTCATCAGGTACATGAGGCAACCCACAAGCTCTGCGTAGGGACCACTAGGCTCGAACGGCTCGTCAGGAAAGGGTCCAGTGAGTCTGTGGTCAACAGCAAGAGGTGTGCGCTGTACTGTGGAGTGCTGAAGCCCGAACCGCTGAAGGACCTGCTGCACCATGTGCGACTGTGAAAGTGTAATGGTGCGAGCAGCTCTGTCCCTGGTGATCTGCAGGCCAAGGTAGTGGCGCAGCTCACCAAGATCAGTGCAGGTGTGTCTCTTCTGCAGTTCGGACTTCACGTGTGCCAAAGCAACCCTGTCAGGGGTGGCGAAAACAAGGTCGTCAACGTAGACCAGAACAAAGAAAGGTGTGGGGCCACGACGAACGAACAGCGACGGGTCAGCAGAAGACGGCTGGAACCCAAGGTCAGACAGGGTAGAACGCAGGGTGTCGTGCCACTCACGAGGAGCCTGACGAAGACCGTAAACCGGTCGCCTCAGCCTCCACTGTGCTGCTACGTGTAGTAACACCCGAAGAGTGGTCATCTTCGGGGTGGACGCGAAGGTCTGAAAGAAGTCAACTCCCTCGCGCTGACTGAAGCCTCTAGCCACGTAGCGCGCCTTGAAGACCGGAGGAGATCCCGGTGGCCGCTTCACCCTGTAGATCCACATGCCGTCGACTACGTTCGCCCCCGGAGGGGGAACCTCATCGACGTAGGTGCCTGTGGATCTGTAGGAGGCCATCTCTGCGTCCATGGCAGCTCTCCACTGAGAGGCCCAAGGCCCTGACACTGCCTCAGCGTAAGTGCGAAGAGTCGGAATGTCAAGGGTGTCGGGGTCACCCTCAGGGGCGAGGAGCATGGCACAGAGATGAGGGGAAGCGGCCGCCAGGAACTCTAGCTCAAACTGCCTGTCCTCTAGGGCGTCACAGCCAAGGGCAGACACACCCCCGACGGCCAGAGGACTGGAAGGAGGAGCAGCCACAAGAGCGGTGGCGAAGTCAAGGCGGCGGGTAGAGGCAAACTCAGTGACTGCGGCAGTAAGAGCGGACACAGAGGACACAGAGGCACGAGGGTGGGTAACAAGAGAGGCGAGAACACGAGAGAGAACAGGACGGTACGTGCGGTAGTAGTCAGTGACAGGAGAAGGAAGCGACACAGTGAGGGCCGACTCAGGAGGAGACGGAAGCACAGACGGAGACGGACGAGGTGGACGAGAACAAAGGAAGGCTGTACGAAGGTCAGTGAAGGGAACAGGAGACGAGGGACGAGCACGAGGGGAGCGACGAGAGGCCCAAGTCTGAGAAGGAGGAGGAGACAACGAAGACTGAGAACGAGGGAAAACAGCGGGAGAGGGGTCAGGAGGAGGAAGCGGAGGACCAGAGACGGGAGGAGAGGGGGAGGAGGAAGGAGAGGGAGACGGGAGACCAAGGGTCCGAAGACCCGAGACAGGAGGAGGAGACGGCAGCTGCTGCTGCTGCGGCTGCTGCTGCTCCAGCGGCTGCTGCCCCTGCTGCTGCTCCTGCTGCTGTCGCTCCTGCTCCTCGAGCCGCTGCAACTCTCTCTCCTCTCTCTCCAACTCCAGCTGCTCCTCACGAGCACGGCGAACACGAGCCTGGAACCTGGTCGGGTAGGGGTGGGGGGAAGGAGTAGTGTCCGGGGCAGCGGCAGCCCCAGAGTCGACCTCCGAAGCACCAAGTACACCACCCCCAGAGGCAGCACCAACACCAGCTCCAGACCCAGGCTCTCTAGAAACCGAAGGGACACCCTCACCCCCAGACGCAGCACCCCCAGACTCCGCACCAGCACCCCCAGACTCCGCACGACCAGTACCAGCCCCCGGAAGACAAGAGTCCTCTGCAACCCGCGGCTCAGCTCCAACTCCAGCACCCCCAGAACCAGAGACCTGTACAGGGACAGTCGCAGGACCAACCTCTCGAGAGGGAGCACCTGCAGGAGGCGGCGAGGAAGACTGTGGGGAGGGAGGCTGTACAGGGGGGGCTACCGAAGGGGGAGGGCTAGCCTGAGACACACCAGACGGGGCTGGACCAGGGGGGGGAGGCTGTACCGGGGGAGCAGGCGGGGGAGCGGCGGTCAGGAAGAGAGGGGGGGGAG